AAAAATTAAAATATTTGTTATGTTAAAATTTTTCTCTTACATAGCAAAGTTCGAAATTATTATTTAAAAATTTCTTCCCCCCCCCCCCCCCCCCCCCCCCCCCCCCCCCGATGTAGAAAATTTAATCTTTAATTTAGTCCGAATTTTGTAAAAGCAACATAATGATAATCAAAGATAATAATTAATTTTTTTCTATATCTTGAATAGTCCTGTCCTGTGATCATTTCTATATCATGCAGTTAGATTTTATAACGATCGATAGCTGTCAAAGTCAAGATTAAGTTTCATATGTCGCACAACTCATTGATACAATATACATGTACACATTGAGTTGCTGCGGATTGAAAAACCATTGCAATTTCCAATCTCATCTGAATAAATAAGAATTGTGCAGCAAGTTTTACGCTAGACAATTTATGGGTAATAGATGTAAAAAAAAATACCTTTATGTCTTATCGTTATGAATAAAATTACCTTCATAATAAAAGCTTCTGCCTATGAACTCGCCATATGTAATTACTTGAAAGATTGTCTATCACAAATCCAGTAATTCTTTATATCTATTATTAACGTTAATGGAATTCTTAAAAGCTTATACAAGAGATATTTTTGCAATGTGTGAAACCTCAATTGCAAGTATCAAATAATTTTTGCATCGCCTTTCCAAATTTCGTAACATCGACCAACGTCACACATAAACCGCACTATTTCAGATTTTCTATAATCATATATAATGCTTTCGAAGAATCTTTTTGTCGCAATACTCATAGTAAAAATGAGCTCATTTAGAATGTTTATCATCTGAAGCATTCTTACCTCAAAAACAAGATTCTGTATAACCATCTTCTAGCAACTCTTCGATCAAACTCGATTCACATACAGCTACTTTTAAAAAAGAACCTTCGATCATTCCCACGCCCGGATCGTGACGAAAACCGGCATTATTTAAGTGCATCCATGTGTCCGATTTGAGATAATGCCTAAACGCCTTTTATCGTCACCAATTGAATTATTCGTAACAACACTCAACGCATTTATTTCAGATAGATATCGAGCACCTTCCCAAGTGAATACGAGTGTAGGCATCATAATTTTTGGTAGAGTTGACGCACTTTAATTCACTCATCTGCCATGATATATTGTTGAAAGTCTATTTGACTTCATTTGTAAGTTACCAACGGTATCATATGAGCTAAAGTTTTTATCATTGCGTGAGAATATGCTAAGGCGGATAAATAGGAAATGTAAATCGTGCTTTTGATACGTAATAAATACACGGATTCTCAATACGCCGAGATTTCCTAAACTTGGTAATACATCAATTTCTCCCGACTCATTTCTCGAACGAAATAACCTTTACGAAGGCAAAAAACCTCGTTTATACCACGAACATAGACAACATGCAAAAAAGAAAAAGGTGGCTGTTTTATTTTTCTAACACAGAGAATTTGTTTATGTTCAAACTTGGAAATTGAATATTCTTTTGATAGAACTGACGATCCTCATATGCAACCGAGTCCTATTGCTATTAGACCAGGTGGTTAAAACAAAAAATTTTTATGCTCGCGTCTTTATTTTTTTTTGTAAAGAACAATGTGAAAAAAGGAATTTTTTTTTGATTCTAGACGTGTTGAGTGAACAAGCCAGAGCCATGTTAAGCGAAGAATTCAATAGACATAATCTACGTATTAGAGAAATCTGTCAAGAGGCTAATATAACAATCGATGATGTTATGGTTAATTATAACAAGAAAACCTTTTGCTCTTTTCATTTCCTTTACGAAACTTAAGAAATCCAATAAACTTCAATGAAAATAGAAATATTTAGGCAACCCGCGTAGTCTCACATTCGCACAGCAACAACAGCAACCCCAACAAATCCAACCAATTCAACAATCGTACTCGCATCATCATCATCAGCCAAACCATCTTCTTGACTTCGCCATAAATGATAGACGTAAAATAGAATCAATAGATTTCATTGAGAAACCACATGTGCGTACTCGCTTTGTAATGAAATCGATGGCGGAAATCCGAGAGAAGTTTAAAAATCTCAAGGATCGAGCAGGCTACGAATCTGTGTGTATCATTGTTCCGAATCGAAATATGATTGACACCTCCCATCAATTGTTTGGTTCTTTGACGGGGGAAAAGTTTGCTCGAAAATCACCACTTTTGCAGTCAATTCCAAATGATTTTCATGTTTTCGCGCAGAATGATTATTTAGGTGCGCATTCCATGATATTTGTTCTTCCTGTACAATTGATTTAACCCCCTTTTTTACTTTCGAAGAATCTATTGGACGCATTATTCCGGAAAGTTCAATGCATATTCCAAATCTATCGACAACTAGTCCATTGACTCCAATCACGCCCTTTTTAACATCTCTTCAAACATCGAGTCCAGTTGTTACTACAGCTCAACCTCAAAATATTGCTTCGACTTCATCTTCATCAATTACTTCGTCTTCAACAGAAGTACCAATAGTAGCTGAACCTTTGCAGACACCGGAATCATCTGAACCACTACCACATTTGGAAAACTTTTCTTCGAACACAACCAAGAAGATTATCCGAGAAACTTTACGGAACAAATTACGCAAGTATTACGTGACAAGTTTCTTTCAGATGTTGTAATCATTTGTGTTAATCGAAGGTTTTCCTCTTAAATGAATAGAAGCAATTTTGGGCACTACAAGTCGGAACATAAATGCGTCAGCATTAGCGAAAAGAAACGTAGCGGTGATGGGATGGCCTAGTGATATTCCTTTCACTACCGATATTGGTCCGCTTTCAGTAACGGAGAAAAAACGTCTCTGGGAGTGCATGAGCGGAATAACGTTTTATAAGATCTCAAAAGGCAATGTTGCCGGTGAATATGCTGATAATGATGAAGACCCTAATAACAAAGACGACAATAACATTAATGTCGAGAGTGATGACG